TATAGGACAGGGTGTGCAATGTGGGCTGAGGGGTCTGATAAGGGCAGCAAGAGCATTACAAATACTGCCTGTCATAGCTGCATAGACTGCAAACTGGAGCTTTGGACAAGAGATGAAAGCAGACCAGAGAGAGCTGTGAGCAAGAGGGGCAAGAGTTTGGATCCACTGGGGTAGATTAGGGTATAAGACAGCAGAATCTGCAGGGTGTTCACCACATACAGTTGGTCAGCAGGCAGCACACAAGACAAGTAGGCAGATGTGGAGCAGAGAGTATACAAGGTGACGGTGAAGCCAGCTGTGCTACCAGGCACCACAGAGATGGTGAGGTGCATGGGACAGTGGAGAGCCTGTGAGATGGACTTCCAATCTGGTGCATGCAAGCACCAGAACTGAAAGATGAGAAGAGCATCTTTTTGTGTCACCCACAGATTCTGAAGAGGTTGAGTCACACTGAGTCACTTTCTCTTTTCTACTCATATCCTCCATCATTTTCTGTACAGTTTAGATTACATTTAGAGCCACTGGAAGATCCATGCATTGTTTGTCTCTTATGGACAGCTTAGACCAGCCTGATGTGGATTCTGGCACTGGTTAAGAGCACCAGTCATAAAATCCAGGAAAAAGCAGGAAGAGACAGAAGGCTTTTGGATAAATATCCCATGTTACTGGGGTGAAATAAAGGAAAAGAGTGCCTGCAAGTATTCAACTAACTGACTGAGAGCTAAGCTGCCACCCAGCAGCCCTGTTCTCTGTCACCTGGCAAAGGCAGATGGCATCAGTGCTGCCTGTGGGCAAAGTCTGCCCAAAGCCAGGGACACTCAAAGAGACACAGCACAATCTCTTTGAAATCTTTGCTTCCCATAGCACAGGGCTGTGTGAAAGTAGCTGACATCACAGCAAACCAGGAACACACAGGAGCAGGACTGGTAGTTTTTAAAGCACTGCTAATGGGAAATGGTGTCTGATAAAGGCATCATATTTTTGGCATGTCATCACAGAAAATTTGCTACAGGCAGCCAGCTTTGGAGGGCAAGTGAAATATCACAGAAGCTTTACTAAATTTTTCTGAGATTGTTTGTCAAGATTTTCATCTCCACCATCTTTGAAAGGGCTGACTGAGACCTTGACTGATTCTAATTTCATAATTAGGGATATTAGGAATAGCTCTGCCAAGCAAGGTCTTGTACCTGGGCAGAGCTGGTAGAGATAAAAGAGCTGAGTGAAGAGGATAAGGTTAACAAGGAACAATTCTGAGTTCTAGGAATCTAATTTTGCTTACCAGATCTCTTCAGCAACAATTTTAGCTGCAGTCTGAGGGGAAAAGAGATGGAGAGGACAAGGCAAAAACATTGTATAAAATAGGCAAAATATTGGGGGGGGTACAAGAGAAGAAAAAAATAAACCAAAAGCTATATTAAACAGTAGGGCCCAAGGGAGAACAGAAAAAAATTAGATCAATAACTGAGGAAACTGTCTGGCTCCACTGAGCAAATGGTGGTTAACAGGAAAATTAAATTCTGCAGGATTAAACAAGGCATTAAACTGGTTGGGGAAAAAAAAACCAAACCCAACAAAAACCCAAAATCATGTGCTCTCAGGTATAAGTCGAGTGGTTTTACTAAGTTGAGCGCTCAGCTGGACTAAAACAGCTCTTTACTAAAGCAACCATAGCATATGTATGCAACTTGCTGAGAGCACAAATTACAGAAGACTACACATTTAAGGAGGTATTCTCTGCTGATGCTAATACTTGTCTCTTGATTCAGGCAGCAAGTTTAAATGTCTGCACCAACAGGCAACAGGAATGTGCAGAGAAAAAAACCCTATGTCTTGGATTTCACCCATCCATATCCTTCTAGGCACTTAAAGAATCACCCCTTAAACCTCTCTTCCCGTCCCAGTTGGGTTCATCCCATTTTTCACTAGCAAATGGAAAATAATATCCAACAAGGGCATTATTGGGAAGATCTGCCCAAAACTGGTTGAAAGAGCTTTAATGTCCCAGATTCAGGCAGCTCTCCTAGCACTGGAAGGGATCAGCACCACCATGGAGAGATACAGGGAACTGTAACCAGGTACCACATGTACCCTATGGAAATGGCAACAACAGTCACTTTGGGAAATATCTGTGAACAATTTCAGGATCTGGTTCTGCACCAATTCCACTGGCACAAACATGGACCAACTCTGCCAAAGTGGCAGTATTATAACTGAGACTCACAGCTTGAAATCAAACCTTGGCAGAGTACTGGCCCAGATCTGCCATTAATTAGCCTCTCTGTTCTTGCCGATCCTTTGGCACAAGCTGGGTGAGGCAGAGTTGTTGCTACCCCTTCACCTTCAGCTGAAGTTTGGTCCCAATGAATTCCTTCATCAGTGCTGCCACTCTAAGCACATGCAAAGCTGTGGTTCAAGAAAGCCACAGTTTGAAGATAAATACTCCAGCACACTTAAAACCCGAGAAAAAACAGGATTTTTTTTCCCTCTGTGATGTTCTTTTTAGGATGAGCCATATGCTGCTATATTGTAGATGCTCTGAAGGACCAGATAGGTAGGGGAAGGTGCCACATCAAATGCCAGCTGTGCTCCAGATAAGCCTTACTGCCCTCCCTGGGGTCACAGCACAGGCTCACAGCACTGCTCTGCACCTGGGAAGACCCTCTCCCTTCCCTGTCACAGCACTACAGCACTTTCTCTTTGGCTGCAGAGGGCCATCACTACATCCAACATGGTTGCAATGGAGAAGCTAGAAGTGTTTGAAGGCCATGACACCCTCCCAGGAAACATGAGATTGCAGAACACAAGAGAGCTGTGAGAAAGTACTGGTCAATGTGACAGCATTTTTGGCTATATCAGCAGCCCAATCAGTGCCAGCTGCCTGGCAGGCACCACACTGAGGCCCCACAAATCAGATTTGTAGGAGCACCCTGGGACTGGTTGATTACATGGTTTTTTTTCCACCAACAGTTGCAAGATATGAAAGTAAGCACTTTAAATTTTAAATTTAAACAGGCATGAACCTGGAGCACAAGCTGAGCAGAAACTATCAGAGCCAGATTGAGTTTATGTTGCAGGACTCTCCTCCACACTGGTGGCTATGTCAGCCATCCCAAACAAGATGTGAGGAGTGACCAAGAGATGAGTCTCTTGGTCCTAAGGACACCTATCAAGGGAGGTATTGGATGCAGACATAGAACTGTACTCTGTTCCCCTAAAGAAGCACAAGAATGCACCTGAATATCAACACTACTTTGCTTTCAGGGACATTTTTAGCACACCACTTCAATTTTTTTTCCTAGATTCAGTGGTACTAAGACACTTCACTGGCACCTTCTACAAGTTATAAATTAGCAATGGCAATAAAACAAGGCAGCCATTCCTGGGCTGAACCTCCCACCTGCAAACATGGCAATCACCTCTTAGCCCCTTAAAACAAGCATCTTGTATCAATAGTTCAGACCTGACAGCTGCAGAGTACCAGCCCTGTGGTTGGGGCATAGGAGCCACGGGGGGTTTGAAAGATGGTCCCTATTATTTCCTGCAGATGGGACAATTGCCTGTGACTATACTAGAAAAGAGAGAGGTTGTCTTCACCTCTGCAGGAAGCCAGCTCCCAAATTTAATAAAGGTTTCTCCTTCCAACCGCTTCACTGAATACAACAGCAACACTTGTAACAAAATCTCACCTGCTTTTCAAGTACAAACTAAATGAGCTTTCCTGAGAAAATAATTGCCAACTATTAAAAGGCTACTGTTAGAGCTCAAGAGGACTGTTAAAATACAAAGAAAAATGTAGCACATTCTTCCTGAATTGATATTTCAAACGAAACCTATTTTTGTTTTGAAATGTGGCACTAGAACAACGACCGGTTGTTTTTGTAAAGTTTCAGACTGAGAGCCATGCAATCATTTCCCAAGAGCAACGTATCTTTGTTGTTCATGGAAATACTGGGGAAAAAACCCCAGGTGAACCAGTCGGTCTCTGCCTTAGCAGAGGAGTCTCAACCCATCTCTTGTCAAGTCCACACTGGGGAATGCCCAGCTCGGGACCAGACCAGACACCTCTGCCTCTGTAAGATAGTCATTCCCAGGGAAGAGCCCCCATTTACCTAACTTCCACCTTCTTAGTCCTCATTACGACCTCAAATCTTACAGCAAACAGAAACTTACTTTTGCTGTTTTGTTAAAAGCAGATTTTAAACAACTATTTTCTCCATAAGAATCAATTCCTGCTCTTGCCATTTTGAGTGCTTCTTGAGATGGAGCAGTTTGAAGGATCAGCTTTGTAATATCCATATGCACAGCCAGAATTGCATCTCTAACAGCCCAGAACTGCCTCACACTATTACCCCTAGTGTCCAAATGCCTCAGGCCCATAACCTTGAAAATTCCCTAGAGAGGAGAAGCCTGGAGTAGATTTTCTCTAGCCATATTGCACTGAACTTACACTGCTGTGCTCTCCTTTTGTTTAAGTATCTGATCTTTTCTGTCATCACTCTGTCTTGATAAATGTCTGGATGCAACACTTTCAGTGTACTTCCATCTCCCAGGAACACAAGGTATTAAAGCACAAACAGTTTCATCTTTGCATGAAACCTTTGCAGCATGTGTTAACACGGAAGACTACATCATTCACTGACACCATTTACCCCTCGGCCTGAATTACAACCAGGCATGTGCAATGCTGCCCTAATTACACTGTCTAGAATAGCTGAGCCATGTTCATTAAAAGAGAAGTCAAATTACTGAATCTCTCTCTCATCAATCTGGTTATTATTTCAATGACCAGGTCAGGATTGAGACTGTTTATGAAAACCAGAATCTGAAGATGGTCTTACCAAGGACACAGCTGGTCCCTTGCAAGTCACAACCTCAAACACGTTGGAGATGGAGACTAGCAAAGAAAACATAGTGGAAGCACATCCCCTCATGTCAGAAAGCAGAGGCAAAGACTTCACAAAACAAGTGGTGAGAGGGAGATGCAGCATCCCTCTACTTACTGCGAAGTGTCCAAGGTGTAGTTCTAAAGAGCAGACATCCTTCAAGCTACTGTGGAAAAGCCACTCTTGGAGACCAATCCTGGCACTGGAAGGTTAGTGCCAGCCAAGGCAGTCTTGTTTGCACCAGTCACAGCAAGGTGGCACAAATGGCAGCCTTTCCCCAGCATGCAGCTGTGTCCGAACACGGCAGTGGTGATTCCCAGTGTCTGACCAATCCAGGCCACATGCATGCCTGGCCTGGCAATCCTGCCCTAGAACTGACCAGAGACTCACAGCACCTCAGTGACCATCATTTCTCATCCACATGCTAAACCTCAAAATAATGCCAAACTCCAACTTACCAGTTTCATTGATGAAGCAGGTATATATTTTTTAAATCTCAGAAAATGTAACAACATACATGACAAAATTCTATTCTATACCCCTTGAATTAAACTTCCTCAAACCAGAAGACAAAATGAAGAGGATCTGGTCTCCAGACCAGTGATCCAGAGCTAGAAAGCACTATAATTAGAATCAGGACAGAGACTGAAGACCCAGAGTTGATTGCAAAACTAATTAGCTAATGTTATTACAAAGTAACAGAGAATAACCAAGAGCAGAATCAGACTCTACAGCAATCTAAGCAAAGGACAGTTTAATAACTGTACTTAGGATAGGTTTTAAAGGAAAAAAAGAAATCACTTTATGGATTATATTTCATCCTGGGCAATATCCATACATCTTGGACTTAGCAAAATGGCTTGGAGAAGAGGGTTTCATCATAGTAAACACAGCTACTTCACAGCAAGATTTATTAATACATCCAAAAGAAAGAAAGAAAATCATTTTGTCACACTATATACAGATAATACATACAGTGAAATGTAAACTTTTGTATACAAAAACCCTTAAACAAATTAAACAAGGACCAGATAACAAAAGGAGACCAATCTATCATCATTTAATTAATTTTTTTTTTTTTTAATGGTAATACAGTACATTCATTGAGAAGTATGAGGAACATGTGAGCCAACCTTTCCTATTTAAAGGGAAAGTACAAACACGAGCTTTCCTACCCGCCCCTGGAATGCTGTCCGTGAGCCTCCAGCACTAGAAGCAGTAGTGCGAGTTGCCATTGCTGCCAGGGACCCC